CAAACAACCCTGATCCATGGTTTAGGACTGCCACAATGGAGAGAAAGAAGAACTAGCAAGGGGATGTGAACCCTCCTTGGTAAGTCACCCCTGCCCGCATTCTGGTAGGGGAACAGGAACCACTGCAGGGTTTGGGCATGGAAGCGGGCCCTGGGACAATCCCAATGCACAATATCATCTTGCCGAGAACTTGACACAGCAAGATGCCTCTCTGTCAGACAGGATCTGTGATGTGACATCCCTTATACTGTCTCGACGCTCCTGTGAGAGAAAGACCTGGCCGGTTAAAGTGTGTATGATAGTCCCCAAATGCAAGAGATGGTACTAGGTGGCATTTGTCCAGGTTTATCGAGAACCCATGCTCTTGAATGATCCTGATTGTCGACATCATATCCTCCTCTGCCTGAGGTCTGGAAGAGGATGCTATCAGGATGTCATCCAAATAGCATAGGATCCTTATGGGTAAGGATCTGAGGTATGCCGCTACAGCCGCCAGGAGCTTGATAAAATCTGTGGGGCTGATGACAGGTCGAACAGGAGAGCCCTGTATTGAAAATGGTGGCCGCCATAGCAAAACCTCAGGAACTGATGGTGGTTGGGGTCTATGGGTACATGGAGGTAGGCCTCTGTCGGGTCTACTGAAGCCAAAAATATCTCCCTCCCACAGGCCCTGAAGGATAGGGTGGAGGGAGTGCACCTTGAATCTTCGGTAGATTAGATGCCTGTTGAGCCCTTTCAAGTTGAGGACTGCTTGTCCCCCCGCCCCCCCGAGGCCTTTGGAATCACAAACCAAATTGAATAGAACCTCTGTCTCTCCTGGTCTCCAGGAATTGGATGGATGGCCCGAATGTCCAGCAGATAGTGGATTGCCGATTCCATGAGATCCCTCTTTGAGGGGTCCTTTGAGACGGGGCAGCACACAAAGGCACTAGTGAGGGAGGAAAGAAACTCCTGAGAGAGACCTGACCATAAAGTTGTCAGGATTCAAGCGTCTGTTGTGATCTGTTCTGACCTCTGCCGGAACAGTCCCAGACGGCCCCCTGTGGGAGAGGAGGCTTGGGTGTCACTTGTTGCATCTAAAAGTTCTGTTGGAACCCTGAAAGGACCTTCTGTCATCTTGCCTCTGATGCCCTCTGGCAGCAAAGGCTGGTCTATCAGCCTGAAATGAGGATCTTTGGAAGAAGGGCCTACTTTGATGGGGAAAGCTTGCCCCAGCTTCCCCCTGTTTAAAGGAGGGCTTTCTGTAGTAGGGTGGAGACCTGTAATCAAAACGCTTCCTCTGGAAGGGCAGGAACTTTCACTTGTCCCTGGTTTCCATCAAAAAAAGGGATCCAGGGCCTTCCCCAAAAGTCTCTCTTCCTTGAAGGGAGCAAACACCAGCTTCCATTTGTTTCTGGAGCCCATCTGCCAGTTTCTTAGCCAGATGAGTCTACGTGCTGTTACAGATGAGGCCATGGCTCTAGAAAAAGTTTTGGCTGACGTGAGGGTAGCATTAGCTGTTGATTGAGCTGTGGGCTATTATCTTATTTAAGTCCTGATGCACCCTGAGGTCCTCAGGTGGGATTCTACCCTGAGCTGCCACAGCCACCCATTAAATAAGGTAGACTCAGACCCACTGGGGTGAGTGTACCCCCCAGGGGAATTCCTGCGGCTTTTTAATCACATTCATAAATGTCTGGGACACAGGTACAGCGTCCACCACAGATGCTTTCTCCATGAATATGTAATCTTTCTGATCCTCCCCCTCTGGGGGAAGAGCCCGGTGACCTTGTCCCTTTTTTTAAGATGAGCTGTGCTCTTAGCCTTAACCAGCAGAGTCTTGGAGAGAGCCGGCTGGAAAAAGTCTTTAAAGAAGGGGGGACCTGCAACTTCTGACTCCCCATCCGAAAAACCCTCTCTGGAAGGAGGTCCCTCTTGGAAACATAAGCCTGGCTTCTTTCCGAAGGGTGTGCAGAACTATTTCTGAAGTAGATCGGCTGTTCTGCAGAAGCCTGCCCCTGTCCCTGAGGAACGCCTCTGTTGGTGTCCAAACCAGGCAGCCATTGCAGCTGGTTGACTTAAGCCTGAAATTCTTGTCTAATTGTTTGGGAGATCCAGGCTCTCATGAAAGATGGCATCTCTTGCCTTTGGGTCTCCTCAGGCCGCAACCCAGCCACTATAGGATAATGGTGGCTTTTTATTTTCAGGCACAGGTCTGGTTCTGCTGGAGGCTTGGCTTCCAGGTACAGCAATCAAAAATCCTTGTGGTGGCTCAGAATTATAATGAGTGGCTTTTGCCTTGATTTGAAGGTTTCCCTGCAAATCCTGAGTACTTGAGCCACCAGGATATCAGGCAGTCAAATATTGTCTATCTGCCAATTGGTTTTGCTGCCTGCCATCTTGTGGGAGCAGAGGAGAGATGACCCTGTTTTCAGCAATCTTGGAGTCTCTCACTGCCTTATCAAACTCCTTATCTAGGGCTTTTTGTCTATGCCTGCCCTGCATATCCTCTACCCTAGAGGGTCTTTTAGGGGCTAGAGTCCTAGGTCTGATCCTAGCTGCTGCCTCCAGACCCGCAGACCTGGATTTAGTTGATCTCCTTACAGCTCTCTCCCTACTCTGGTGAGAAGCTGATAATTCTTGGCCAGCTCCCCTGGTGGCCATTTTGATGCCTGGTGCCAAAAATAATTGTCATTGACAGGGAGAGAGAAAAGGAAAAAGGGGGCAAAAGAAAAATAAAAACAAAACTTATTTGATCTAAAGCTGTCTGCTCTGGTCACAGCAGCTGTCCACCACTTCAGGAGGCTAGTACAACTCAGAAGTGGTGAGCACAGCTCCGCAATTTAAGGCAAGAATCAAAGCAAAAAGGAAAAAAAATGGCTGACTCTTTAAAATTGCTACAAGCTCTGACAGATCAGAGGCTTGTTGAGTCAGTGTTGGCTGCACCACAATCAATTTGGCAGTCTCAAGCGTCTCACAGTTGCCACAGTGCTCTGGTGACTGGACAGGGTGTCAGGATTCAATCCAGTTGGCCAGTATCCCCCCAAGGGACAATCCTGGAGACAAACTGCAGAATTGTCCTGAAACATCTGAAATGGCCGCCGATATCAAAAAGGGGCAAAAGCGCCTTGTGGTTTTTGCAGCTAGCACAGATCAATAAGAACGGACCAGGAGAAAGTGCATTGAATAAGACACTGACTCCCACACCCCCAGCCCGGGCCACACGGGCTCTCAGGGTCACCTCCAACCAAATTTACAATCACAATTCCAAAAACCAGTCTACCAGCAAAGAATTTTTTTTAAAGGCAGTAAAAAAAGAAATTGTGAAAAACAAAAGTGCTAACCAGCAAGCCGGCTAGCTGTCAAACCTGCTCTAAGCCACTTGAAGAGGAAAAAAAAAACTCAACCCAGGGGTGAAGATTCTTCTACAATCTTAACTATTCAGAGCCCTTAAAGGGTGGTCTGAACACGCTGAGTGAAGAACTGGGGACTGTTACCAGAGGGTGTAACTCGGTCTGCAGGGCTATGAGACTAGAGACTACCCATCTTGGATTCTCCCATCTTGGAGAATGTGTTCATCTTCTATAATGTGACCTGTTTAAATATTCAGATAATCCTCAACTTATGACCTTAATGGAACTTGCCCATTACAGTCATATGTCATGGTGGCTGTTAAGTGAAGCATCTCATTTAACAACCCCCTATCCCTGCTTTCCCCAATGCTATTATTAAACAAATGTGTGGGTCATTAGATGGAACATGCGGTGCCATGGGGGTGGAAGGAGATCCTTGGAGGCCTGACCTTGCCCAGACCTTACCACACTCCTGCAAACCTCTCTAGGCCTTCTAAGGCTTCCTCATATCTGAGGCCCCCTGTGCTCTACTTCAGTGGTGGGATTCAAAAATATTTACTACCTGTTCTCTGATCGTGACTTGGTGGGCATGGCTTGATGGGCGTGGCAGGGGAAGGATACTGTAAAATCTCCATTCCTACCCCACTAACCTGATTTCCAGCTCCATTCTCCTGTGTAGGGCAACCAAAGAAGACCCAGCCGATCATCTGGGACTTGGAAGGCAGAGAATAAATGGTGGCAGGGCCAATCAGAGGTAGTATTTGTCGGTTCTCCAAACTACTCAAAATTTCCGCTACCACTTCTCCAGAACTGGCCGGAACTTGCTGAATACCACCTCTGCTCTGCTTCCTGGACCTCAGGGTTCCACAGGCCTAAGCCTGCTCCGAAGCTGGCTATTCATGAAAGCAACATTGCCTAAAGCCAGTCAACAGAAGCAACCAGCACATGAGAGGCAGTTACAACCTGTAGGCCAAGGCCTATTTCATATCTGGCAATCCAAGGGCCTTCCCAAATCTTCCTCTGTCCCTGAGGATTCTCTGAGCCTTGTCCTGCTCCCAAGCTCATTATTTAGCCAGACAATGCAGCAGGAATCTGGTCAGTAGAAGTGGCTGACACGTGGAGAATAGTTATAGCATGTACATTGATGCTTACTTTAAATCCAGCCACCCAAAAAACTTGCATGATTCAGCCCACTATTCACTCAATTCCAGGGCCAAGCAGCATCCAATTTACCTTTATATATTTTGCAGATGAGCTTGGCCAATACTATATGACGCTCAATTTTCTTGTAGAAGCATCCAGCCTCATGGCAATTTCATGCTCTTCTCCTAGCAAGTAGTATTTCTTGCAAGACTATAGGACAAATGTTTTTCCTGTTTTTTAAGGAGACTTCACAAACTCCACAAATAAATGTAGCTCCTTAGAATCATAATCTTTTGTTTAGCTATTCTGAATAACACATTTATCTAAATTCATGTTTCTCTGATATTTAATTCCCTTAAGTTCCTTGAAAAAGTACATTAATTTTCAAAAAGGTATCTATTTACTGAGTTGTAATTTCAAGTAAAGTAAGGTGCTATAGTATTAGGTACTTTCACTGCTTTGATTCAATTACATACAAACAAGTAATAAAAATTAAATAATAAACACTGTTAATGATTAGCCTACCTCATTTAGATGTTTTGTAATATTTCTAAGCATATCCATCTCATCAAACATTCTGTCTTTATTTCCTGAAGTAAGACTCAGAGAATACTGCGTGATGGTTTCTTTGGGAACTGCAGGCATTAAAACCATTGGGTTAGCTTCATATCTGCTCTGTTTTCCTCCTTTCTTCCTTGTTCCCGGAGATGAGTTGTCAATTGTCTTTTGTTTTAATTGTTTTGTTGCATTCATTGCGTTGGTTATGTAATCTTTTCAAAAATAAATAATCAATATTTCATTCCAAGCTTTGAAAAAAATGTAATACATAATAAAACAATATATTTTTCACCTTAAAAACTATCCCAATAAATTTTCTATGTTCCAAAAAGTTTAACCTATCCTACCTTTAGCATACCGTCTCTTTCAATGTCTTTGTTTTCAGTTTTCAAGCTGTATGAACAACCCTTTATAACCTAGTGGTTAACATATTGGTTATATTAATTTCACTCCTAGAGAGCCAATACCGTAATGGTTAGGATGCTGGACTAGGAGTGGGAAAAATCAAGTTCTAATTATCCGTTAGGCATGGAATACAACTAAATAACCTTGGACCAGTCATTCTCTCACAGCTATAATCAGCATCATGCTGAAAAGCCAGCTAAAAACTAAACCTCTCATTACATCAGGCATTAATAGTTTTTCTATTTAAGCTAGATGAACAGAATGCAGAAATGTGACCCTGCAGCCAAATAAATATATGCATGCATACATACATACATACGTACATATACAAATACACATGCAGAAACTTCTAAATGCTGACAACGTATTTTTTCTGTAATTAAATAAAAGTAGAATATAAATAAGTTTCACATTATATTGAATATATCGAATTAGCACTCTCCAAAGGCAAGAAAATTCTCCAGATATACAAAATCCAACAGTAGGATCAAAAAAGGGTATAAAAATAGGGGGTGGGGCCAGCTGCCAGAGTGAGTGGCTGTATGGACAGAT